GGCTGATTTGTTGGTGGGTTGGTTGGTTGGTTGCGCACGGGTGTGTTTTGTTTGCTGTTTAGCGTCGTACCTGTCTTCCCCCCAAGACTCCACAACTCCGCGCGAAAAACTGGAGTTTGCGCTTCGTTGAGACGAAACGCCGTTTTTCTCCGCCCAAGTGGCGGAGTCGTGGCGGAGTCGTGAGTGTGTGACTCCTTGCCTGCTACTGGGGCACGTGCGCGTAGCCGCAGCGATTATCTTGGTTTTGCTTGTCGCAAAGGCTGCCGGGGTTCCGCAGAGTCCGGCGGAGTCGTGTCTGTGAAACTGCTTGCTCGCGTAGGGATAGCAAACTTCGTGGAAATTGAAGGTGCGTTTAAAGTAGTGCGCCGGTGCTTTTGTGGTGGTTGCAGGACGGGCCAGCAGGCTTGCGTCTTCAAGGTGGCCGGAATTTTTTGGGTTGGGTAGGAGGTTTGAAAACAGGGCCCGAACACGTGAATCGTTTCTGGCTTCGCTTTTTGGGGCCTCCCCTGTAGCTTGAAAAGCTTTGCTTCAGCTTCCGCCCAGTGACAAACAAATGAATACATAGTGATTGTTTTTGTATGTTTGTATATCTCTATGCTTGGCCAATGTCAGTTGGATTATCTATAACATTTTGTATATGGCTGTTGCTTAGGAAGTTTGTCCGCAGCCTGCCTCAATTTGTGTGGCCGCTGTCTCCGTGGGCGTGTCCATTCGCAGCATCGCTTTTGCCACCTTCTTTCCGCCGCTGGTGTATCTTGACCATTGCTGTCAACTCCTCCCTCCACCCTTTTGGTGTACCGCTTCTGTCGATACGGCGCTTCTACCTTCGGTCCAGCCGACTTCAGTTTGTTTTGCCTTTGCTTCGCATTCAGCATCAGCTTGGACAGGACTATGGCCTCCTGGTGCTGTTGCACGCTAGCTTTTCTTGGCGTTTCACCTTCCAAGAGGGTGGGGAGGTGTGATAGCTTCATCAGCTTGGTGACCTGTACCCCTCCGGATGGCATTATTTCAGGAATTCGCCGCTTTGGCCTTGGCTTTCTTTGTTGTCGACGGTGATTATGCTGCAGGCGATGTGGGGAAAAGTGGGGTGGCTCCCGCGCTGTGTCTATTTTGCGTATTTTTCTTTGGCAGCATGGCTGCATTTTACTGCCTGCGGTTGCCTTGTTGTTGACCGGGCTTCCTCTTTACCTGGACTGATCTTCGCTTCATTCTTTTTTTTGGTTACGCTCCCTTTTGTGCTTGATTGGTTTGGGCATGTGGAGTGCCTTTTTGCTTTTATGCATTTCTTGTTGGCAGATGGCTCACGCTGATTGCCGGTTTTTTTAAATCTTGGTTGAGGTTTTGGTCTCGTATTTTTCATGTTTTGGTTTCACGCTTGCTTGGCGCTTGCTGCGCAGCGGATTCTCCTGGGTACGAATGGAACATTCATTTCCTTTGTATCTTCTCGGGGTTTGCGTGCTCTATTGTCATGATGGATTGCTTATAGCATCCTTCATCATTGGTGCCCCTTTGTTGTTGACTGTGTTGGTTTTTGTTTGTTGATGATCGCTGATTCGGCGCCGACTCACGGATGGCGTGTTGCATGATGGATCAGGCGCTATGTGAGCTTTGTCCCTTTCTTGGTTGAGGCTTTCGTCTCCCAAGCAATTGTTTATTGTAGTGTTTCGCGGACGAACCCGCTGGTTGTTCTGTCTGTTTTTGGGTTTCTTTTTCTTGTTGCTTTTGTTTGCTTTGGTTCCTTTTGTTTTGTGGTTGCGGGCTTCCTCCTGTCCTCATTTGTTCTTTCGCTCGATGCTGGAACGGTGGACCTGCGTGATCGCGATCGGCCGCACGGATCAAACAAAACAAATTAACAGTGTACGGTATTCGGCTTTATCCTTCATTTCCTTTTGTTTGGAATAGTTGACGGGACTTGTGATCGATGTGTTTGCTTCGACTGTGCTTTACACGGGCGTCGGCTTTGATTACTATTGCTGGCGTGCAGCGGGTTGCTCCCGACCCATGCTTCTTTCAACCCATTCATGGCGAGCCTCCATTACCTAAGTCGATATGTGGGATGGCGCGTCGGATGAGTTTGTGGTCACTGGCGTACTGCGGGGTCGCTCCCGATTTTTATTGGCTTCTTGGCTACAACGTCTCGATTGGAAGCCAGTTTGCAGTTGTTTTTTGCTGAAATCGGACGATCCGCGATTGAATTCCTTAACTTATGCCGACGTACCGCAGGTCTTTCCTGTTTTTTTAATTGCCGGATATTATGGCTAGCCGGCAAGCTCGGAGTCACGGAGGCAGCCTCGGCCCTGGAGATAGCCGTGCGCTTCCCGGACGACGGAGGGGCCGACTATGTTCGTCTCGCTACGCTTGGTGGCACAGTTCGGAGCTTGGCATTTTCGTGAGATATGTCGGCTGCGTGTTCTTTTCTCCTTCATTTTGGTGGTCGTGCTGCCGCAGTTTTGCTCCAATTGCTCAGCTGCTTTGGATTGGGAATGGTGCTTGAGATGGTCTACCGGACTATGGCGTTTTTTCGATGCAGCTGCATTCCCTAATGTTTCTGTGGACTGTTCTCTTTCCCCTCTCGTTTCTGTGGACTGTTCTCTTTCCCCTCTTTGGACGAGGTGGTTGATGGATGATTGCTTCACGACAGATTTCCGCACATAGGCGCTGGCGCGGTGCACAATTCATTGAGCATTTATGCTTCGCTTGAGTTCATTACTCATTCGCTATCAGTTTGCCTTAGGCTTTCCTTTTGGCACGGACATGCTTTGTCGGCTGGTTGAGACCCACGCCTCCTGGTCGTTGGTCCCCTTTTTCTCGTAGTTCTGCCTTATGTTTGCTTCGGCTTTCATTGCGGTACTGGTGATTTTACATTTCGGTTCGGTTGAGACACCCGTCTCCCGTCTTTCCGTGATTGTTGCACAGGTCGGTCCGTTAAGATATTCGACTGTGCCTACTTGCACTGGGTAGCTCAATGCTTCCCCTTGTGTGTCGAAGAGTTTGTTGTGTTTGCTTTTTGTTTGTTTGTGTGCTTCTTCTTGTTTTGGTGCTTGGTTCTTCGATCTTCGACATTCGTTTTTTGGGCATGTCTGCGCTGAAACAGTGAACTGGCGTGATCGCAACGGCCGCGCGGTTCAAAAGAAAGCTTACCTGTCACTCGCATTTTCACACAAGACGGGAATGCTTAATGAGGGCTGACGCCTGCGCAACAGTGTTGTAAAGGAATTTGACGTCTTTCACCCAGTGCGAAGCAGAAGTGACCAAGTAGGCTCGCGTGTCCACATAGATCTTCCGTGGCAAGGGTGCTAGAGATGCAGGGAAACGGAGAATATTTTTCCGTGTCAACTCCTTACTTGGCAAGACCGATGTGCAGCAAAAGGGGCTTGCGGAGGGGCAAAATGGAGCTTTAGAGACCTTCAAGGGGGCTTCAAGCTTAAGTTAAGACGGGTTAAAACGTGTTTGCAAAAAGTTATGGGGCGAACTCTCTTCCTCAGTTCCAATGGGAGCCGTTGAGCACCGACTCTACTCTTTGTTAATAGTTGGTGACTGCACAGTGCTGCCTCGTGTCAAATCGCTGCAACCGAGTTGCTGCACCTGTACTATGCTTCGCAGCTCTTGGACTTGCACTCGTGGCTCTTGCTGCAGCTTTCCTTCTCAGTTTGTTTTGTCCCCATTTTCTCGTTTGACTTGGTTTGTTGGCCCTCTTTCTTGTTTGTTTTGTTCAGCTGCCGGGCTTGGTTGCCACTGAAGTAGTGGCGTTTGCTCTGCTAGAGTTGTGCATTGCCAGCCGTCGTTAGCGATACAAGCTGCAAGGTGAAAAACGAAATCCGGCTTTCAACTCAGCCCACTTCAACTCTAGCTCTGGCAGCAATAACGGGCGAAATTGTATTTGACATTCGCCATGTCCTCCATCTGCAGTCTGTCCGGAAAACTTTTCCAAGTATCTATCTGTCCAACTCGCCAGGATCCGCTCTGAAGAGGGAATGCTCCGCATTTCCTTTCCACTAAAAAGGGAGCTGTGCTCATTCAGCCGTGACTCTCAACCTGAGCACCCGTGCAACCCGTTGAAGAAAAAAGGGGCGTGCGAGGGATGTACCTGTTTCTTGCATGAGGGTTTCAATGTCTGTTTTGGAGCAGTGCCCGTAGCATCTAACATCGGGTTCAGTTACGTCAGCACGCAAAGTTGAGTACCACCTGCGCAACTCGATGACAAAAAGGTGCTAGGCTGCGCCCAAACCCACCCTCCCGGCCCTCTTCTTGTATATAACATTCTGCACCGCCGTGCCATTGTAGAGGCAATCCTCATTCACTTCCACCGTTGGACCGCGCTCCTACTTCACCGCAGTGCCAGTGTATGACTGACGCATTCGCGGGCAGCATGTTTCCGCGAGCAGCGATGTTTTTTGCGCAAACATCGGCCCCCGTTTGAAACGGAATGAACGGTTTCAGCTGCCCCCCCGTTTTTGGGGTCCGGTAATTCAAAACATTTCTTTCCTTTTTGTAGTTGCTGTTCTTTTTTGGCGAGAACAGAAACTGCTTAATCAGAGAATGGTGCCAGACCAAAATTCACGGTGCTCGGTTGGAAGGTGCCGGGACAGTAGGCAGGGCCGAACGGCCGACAAATAGGCAGCTTTTTCATTAGCGGATTTGTTATTCGGCTGTCCGCATTATGAATTCTTTTGTGAGCTCGTTTATTTTGAAGGCCGCTTTCTCAATTTCGCAGCGAGGTTGAATGTGCACATTTTGAGCACCATCATGCTCTCTAACGTAGCAGTGGTTTTGCAGTTTTGAATCTTTGGGTTGCCAAAAGGAAATCAGATTTTGCTGAATTGTCCAGTGATCCTTGCTTGTATCCAGCCGATCAATTCTTGACCGGAGCTTGTCGCACACGTCTAAATGTGCTTTCCTTTCTTTTGACGTATCTTTGGCCACTTCCATTGGACATGTGTTCGGTTTTTGAAATACATGAACAACTCGGGAAGTCACTCCTGCCGAAGACAGTTGCATGTAGCTTTTTGTGGCCCAAAGAGGTGCTTCTAGAGCAGATTTCTTCGCTCCATGATCCAGTATGAGCTGGGACATTGGCTGGTGTGCTCGGGCTTGTGCAGATGTTATGGGTCCGTGTTTCCCAAGACGCTGGGATGGTCGATGCCCATGACAATCCTGGCCATCGTGCTGGAGCAATATTGGGACGCAGAAGAGTGGACCGCCAACCTGCTCTCCATTTGGTCCAGCTATTCTTTCATTTTGTCGTTTTTGGTGGTCTTCCGCAACAACCAGGCGTACTCTCGGTTCTGGGAAGGAGCTTCATTGATGAACGAGATGCGTGGGGAGTGGCTGAACGTGTGCACGAGTTTGGTGGCCTTCTGTTCCAGCGAGAAGGACAAAGAGGCGGAGGTCCAGTCGTTTCAAGAGCTCCTCGTTCGCCTGATGAGTTTGTTGCACTGCTCTGCTTTGCAGGCGGTGTGCAAGCTTGCGGACAAGCGACTGGAATTGATCGATGTCTATGGCGTGGATGTCAACAGCCTAAGACATTTGAGGGACAGCGTGAACCGCAGCGATGTCTTGTGCCTATGGTTGACCCGGCTGATTCTGGAGAACAGTGAGAAGAAAGTGTTGGTGGCCCCGGCTCCAATCCTTTCGCGCTCATTCCAGGACCTTGGAAGAGGCAGAGTGCGGATGTCCGAGTTGGTGAAGATCAAGGACATTCCTTTTCCCTTCCCCTACCAGCAGCTGATCATCACCATGCTCGCGGTCCATTCGGTCATCACGGCCATGATCACCAGCCAGTACATCCACCCCTGGTACTGGGCCGGGCTCATCACCTTCATCGCCATGTCGGGCTTCTGGGCGCTCTTCTACATCTGCGCCGAGATCGATCACCCTTTCGGAGATGACCCCAACGACTTGCCGCTGGGGGAGCTGCAGAAGGACTGGAACGCGCGTTTGTTGGAACTTCTGCAAGACATGTCTCAGAGACCGCCCGAGTATACGGCACATCGCCATGGCTTGCATGCAGCTCGCTTCTCCATCACCTCATATCTCGCCCATACGCATGGTGATCATGCGAGGACCTTGAAGTCAGGTCTCTCCTCCACTGATATCTTTGACTCGCTTGATGAGCTGATCTCACATCATGCCTCCTTTGCAGTAGATTGCAGAGGTTCGCAACATCCGCCAGTGTTGTTGCCCTCCTTCGATTCTGAGCATTCCAAGTCAGATTTCAACACCGAAGTATCCGAAGAGTCGCACATTGGACACTTGAGAGAGTTCAGTACTATGGCATCTCCTATGGCAGACACACCCTCGCAGCAAGCCCATGTCTAAGGCTGACAACTGCAAGAACAGGCTGCTTAGTTTTCACGCTGTTGATGCATGCGTTTTTTTTTCTTCGGAAATTCACCTGAAGAGGCTCCTTCTTGCAGCTCGAAAGACCAGTGTTCATGATGTCAAGGCGTGTGTTTCATTGGCAAGATGTGCCTTACGTAGTAGAGACAGCGCTTTCGGCGTTAATTCGTTTCTCTTCTGAGACTTCTAAGAGCTGGGGGTTGAGGTGTGAGCCCTTAGAATGGCAAGCACCCGGCCACCCTTTTGGCGCCGGATCGCTCGATGCAATCCAAGTCCGGACAGAGCGCCGTCCGAGCGAGCAGCGTCCAAGATGCCTAACTGAACGGTGTTTAAGAGGATATTCAGGTTGGCTATGCATCACGACCAGGATCTGGCCACTTTTTCATCCATGTTATACGCAACACAACGTGAGATCAACCCGGGCTTTGATATGGCCGTACCATCTAGGCAACATCAATGGGTGAATTGAGCGCTGCTCCTCTGGAATTCATGCTGCGGGTGTGTCACTCAAAGGGTTCACGCCCTTGGGGCAGTTTTTTCTTTAAGCCACATAGTGGCATGTGCGTTATGGCGGCCAATGGCAAAACAAGTGAAAGTCTTTTCCTTGGCTGCGCGAGACAATTTGCAGATGTGTGCTTTGCACGCTCTATGCATTCATGCGAGTCACTTGCCTGTGCCCCAGTTGCATCCCATCGGTGCAGCCAGGTGCGAGCTCACCCCAAATAGACTTGAGTTGGTGATTTGCTTGGGGATGCAATTAGCTCTGGGGTACCTGATTCGAGTCACAGATTTGCCGCCAGCTTTTATCAGTATGAGTGCGAATGGAAGTCACAGCACAAGCACAAGCTCACGCCCGGCACCTGCCAGCAACATATCCGGGCGCAAGAAGTCACTCACTTTTCGTTTGCGGGCATAGGGATCCACCTGGTTTTCCGCCGTAGCTCGCATGGCCAGCCGCCTTGCTGCAATGGAAATTCTGACTGGGATTTTTCGGTGTATCCGCGCTTTTCGGATGCGAGCTCTCACCCAAGTGTTGCAGTTACCATTGCAGTTGCGGAACCAGTGGTGCTGGAATCACTGGGTCAATCGTCTGACGGTTTTGGTGGCAGGCAGGCCTAGCTCTGGCTTCTTCGATCATGTGCGGTTCGCTGGCTGTTTCCTCCGAGCATTGCTCGAGAGCTCAGGTGAAACCGAATCAGCAGACTTCACATACACTTCCAGCCAAGTCCTCAGCAACTGAGACGCGGGTGCCTGGCTGCCGTGGAGTATGGAGTCATGGCCACTTACTGCCTTGGACTGGCTTTCTTTGCGGTTGACAAAGATATGCAAGGATGCAAGCCTGAGAGGGTTTGCTTGGATTGACATCAGAGTAATTTCCAACTGAAAGCCAGTATTTCCCGGAGAAGCGATGGCTGTTTGCGGCGTCTTCCTGACAAACTGAGGTGGCGTGGAGTCTGTCGACAGTGAAACCGACGGGAAGACCTTGATCCTACAGAACCGTCGGCGGCGATGTCTGCCCGTCCGGAGACCGAGACAGCTTCGATCCGGTTTCCGTTTTCCAGGCCAGCAGGAGCAAGCTATCAATTCTAGAAAAATGTAGCCAACAGTGATGCTTGCAGAGATCACGTGGAACATTTGAAAGGAGGTCCTAAGCTCTGATGTGAGGCCAACCAAAACAGCGGTGGAGAAAACAGTGGTTGCAGCACCCTGAAGGAAGTGTGATCCACTCACAGTTTGGTATGTGTCAACTCAGGCTTGGGCATTTTCCAAATGGTTGTGGTGGGTAACTCATGTCGGTGCCTGTCGACACATGGCGTCTTTGTTTTGGCAGATGGGCCCTCAAAGCCGACCAACGCCCTTGAGGTTTGCAGCGGGCAACGCTTGTGCCACTGCTGGTATGCGACTGGGCACAGTTGCTTGAACATTGAACACGTGTGAGCTAACTTATTCCATGAAAGCTTCCAGACGGATTCTGGGGGCTTCCATGGAATCTTCGGAGGGAGAACTCATGCTTTGCATATGTGTGGCGACAACATGCCCAGGTCTGCCAGTTCCTCCTCTTTTTGCCTCTTTGCTGCAGCACACTTGCAAGGTCTAATGGGTTGAGGCGCTGTTCAAACGGTCTGTGCAGCAGATGAAGCATGGGTGACTCTGAGATCTCTCGTCACTCCCAGGTTGATTTTCCCGCTCTGGGTGAAATGGCTCCTGGTCAACCCCATGCCCAGAAAGTGCTTCGGCTGCATGTGGCTTGGCGCTGCTTGGGAGCCCCGTCAAGAATGGTTGGCGGACGTTGAGACAGAAGCTCATGCCCGTGCGCCCGTGCTTCGTTGCGAGCGTGCAGGTACTGGCATGAAGATTACGGGGCCTTCCCCCTGCTGGCGGGCGATTTTGACAGCGAAGCAGCGCCGCTGCCTTGAGGGCCAGGGGTTCGACACTTCTTGCTTTTGGGCAAGAAGCTTCCACAGCTTTTGAGGTGACCGGTCCAGATTCTCTAGCGGGTTTCAAAACATGCGAGTTTTCAGGCAATGTTTCACCTCTCTGTGCACCTGGCGCAGTTTTGGAAGCGTCTTGTCTCTGCCAGTGCAAGTGGGCAAGGATCCGCGAGCAGATGAAGCCCAAGATTCACGTGAGTCCGATCCCGCAGTCCTCAAGCGCAAGCCTCGGGTCAGCCTGAAAGGCATGCAGGACGTTTCTGCAAAGCTGCCAGCTTTGCACGTGCAGGTCAGTGCAACTACAGCTGCTCTGCGATCTCCTCAGCTGAGATGTGTCTTGTTCTTGTCAAGTGACTGTGCCGGATATGTTTGGTGCAGCCTAGTGTGTAGCGGAACTGGGGCCCATTCTCAGTGGTGAAGTGCTACCGCCCTTTTGAGAGAGCCCCAAGTGACTCATCCCAGTGTCTTGACAGCCTCTCAACCCTACCAGCCTGCACAAAGGCATGGAGGGGCTACAGAACGGAGGAGATGAACTTCAGGGTGAGCCTCACCTTGAACGACTCCGCCCTAACAAAGGCCACGGGTGTTTCTTGGGCATTTGGGAGGCTAGTATGCTGTTCTTCGTCTTTTGTTGAGGGGCAGGGACCAACATGATCATGGGCTTGCTGTCTTGAGCAAGTCTGTTTATTCAGGAGTTATGGATAACTTCTAATGTGTGAGAGTTGCTGGACAGAAGGATAATCACTTGTTTGCTGGACAGAAGGATGAATCACTTGTGGAAGCACACCTTTCCAGCCCAGGATCAAACCCCAGCTATTTTTGAATCCCACGAAAACAACAGTTCTTTTTTTCCCCCGCGCATCTTCCTCGTTCTTTGGTGTAGAAAAAGGGTGTGTTGTAGAATTGGGTATCTCCCTTAGGTGCAAAACGAAAAGCGAAAGGAACCGTGCCATTCTCAGGGATCCTTTCAGGGAAGCACAAGATGACGCGGGTTCCATATTCACGTTCGAGCAGCGCCCAACACTCCCATTGGCCATGGTTCGTCCACCTGCTAGGTTCGTCAGCCAAGAAAAAGAACCTGTGGACCCATGGGTTTTGGTCTTTCGGTTCGAGGCCCACGCCCACACGGTTTACCCCGTGCTGCTGGCTTCCGCCGACTTCCAGGACTGGTGGGCGCGGCTCTTGGAGCCGGCTGTGCGGTGAGAGTACCCTTTTCGCTTGGGACATGT